CCCGCTCTCTCCCCTCCCCCTCCCCCTCGCCCAAAAGATTGAAGCCACAGATCTCTTCGTGAAATGAGCTCACTGGGTATCGAGTGTCGCCATTTACACATTGAGTACACGACTGCATCGATTATCCGTCTCCGTTTGTAAATTTCATATCCATGTTGGTTTAAAAAAAAAAATAATAATAATAATAATAAATAAAAAAAAAATCATATCCATCCTTGTGCTAACGCCAGAAACTAAAGCGATGCTTGAAAAAATAGAAAAAAAGTATCATTTTTGTAGTGATTAATCTTTCTCTCTCTCGCTAGCGAGCCTACGGCCTTTGCTTTTTTCCGAGTATATTCGATTGCTTTGGCTTTGAGAGGTCGATCATCAAACGCTCCTTCAAAAAAACAAAGGGAATTCATCATGGCTTTTAGTCCACTATCATTACTTGTGAAGTTCTTCCAGCTGTTATGGGATGGAACGGGCACAGGTTTTTGAAAACTTGAAATGGAAACTGTTCGCGGTGGGTTGACAGGACGTCCCAGCTCTCTCGATAAAGCACTGTCCCTGTACAGGGGCGGTCCAAACCTTCTTCTTCGTCCCAGCTCTCTGGATAAAGCAATGTCCCCGCACAGGTCTTGAGTAGTATGCTTTGTGTATGCTGCTTCTATGTGTATTTGAACATGTGATGTGTGTTTGAATGCATGACTGATGTTCATTTCAAATTTCAAACCTAGCAGGGTCCGGTGGTCCAAACCGATAGGCGGGTTTTATTTGAGGGAGATTGGCGGGCTCGAGTGGGGCAGGTGGAGCAGATCCTGCTAGGTTTGGACCGTCCCGGCGGGCTGCCTTCTTCCCCCGAATACCACGTACGGTCATTATAGCTGTATCTAGACTGAAAGAGGCGTCAATTACAGCTATAATGACCGTACGTTGTATTCGGGGGAAGACTGTAGGTGCGAACCAGGTGTGTGTGATTAGTCATGAGAGTGAGCTGTGGTGAGTGCTCCATGACAGGGGCCATACTGGTACTGGCAGAGGCTTGAATGGCAAGATGGACCAGACCTGGTAGGTATGGGCTGGCGCTAGCTCAGTATCGATCAGGCCTGGCAAAGTGTGGGCCATGTGGTAAGCAATGAATTGGGGGGGGGGGGGGGGGGGGGGGGGGGGGGGGGGGGGGGGGGGGGGGGGGGGGGGGGGGGGGGGGGGGGGGGGGGGGGGGGGGGGTACCATGTAGAACCCATTATGTACATGGTACCCCTGATTACTCCATGGTACATACCAATGTATGGTACCATGCAACCGCCATTATGAATGCGTACATGTGTATGTACCATGGAGCTATGTGGCAAGTGGGAGATGACAATGCCGACAACACCGCCAACAACATCGCAGACGAAATCGAGGACGAGCGAGGACGTGATGATCGCGAGCAGTGACCAAAGTCGCAACTGCCAATCTCAATGTTTATGTATACTCAAATGACTGGCTTCAATATGGCGCACAGTCTGCATACTCAAAGCACAAGGAAAATGGATCATCTTCATCATCTTCTAGCAGAATCTTGCCTCCTCCTCCTTCTCCTCCTCTACCTCCTCCTCCTCCTCCTCCTCCTCCTCCTCTTCTTCTTCTTCTTCTTCTTCTTCTTCTTCTTCTTCTTCTTCTTCTTCTTCTTCTTCCTCTTCTTCTTCTTCTTGATTTTCTTGTCTCACACAATGTCACCTCCCTGCCTCTCCCTTCTGTGTAGTTGAATATAATGTCTAATATTTATCTATCCTGTTGCATGCGGTGGATGGTAGTAGTTTTAGTTTTGGGGTCAAATCTGTCTTTGAGTTTGGAACTTTGGATTCATCAGTACTATATCCCAATTTTCAGGATCTGGCCTCTTCTTCCATTCTTTGAAATTCTTTCTTTTTGGAGTGTTTTTTGTTTTATTTTTCCTAAAATAATTTGGACTATATCTTAGATTGTGTGTCATCCTTGGGGAAAACCCATGCTTCCTCTGTCATGTCCCAATTCTAGCAGCATGTCCTGAAGGATGTTTCTTCCGATCGTCTTTTTTTTTTTTTTTTTCTCTTCTGAAAAAAGTTTCTTCCGTTCTTCTTCTTTAAGTTCACCTGTACTTCCGATAGTAGTGGCCGCATGCGAGCCACCACAGCGTGCTGGGATGAATGTGTCTGGGGCGCTCGCATAAATTCATTAAGTGGAAATGTTGCGACACTGTAGCAATGATGGCTGGCTGCGTGTGCGCCCCAACTTCCGGAAGTACTGGTGCTTTTAACTGAAGGACATTTTGCCGAAGCCACGGATGACTATTTCAACGCAGCGCGGAGGAGCAGCAGAGGGACTACCAGAGGCAGCACATCGACGTGGAGCAGCAGAGGGAGCCTAACTGCACGGTGGAGAGGGGAGCAATGCCATGTCTGTTGCCAGACATCTAGCACACGATAACGGAGAAGGCAAGAGTCTTGTTGGACGTGCAGCGTGGGAATACGACGCTCGTGCAGAACACTCTTCCGTGGATGGACTGAAGGCGCCGCCGGGAAAGACTATTTTCCCGACCGTTGCGGACGTCCCTTGAGCGCGGGAGACCGCATGATGCCGGCCGAAAACGATGATGCCACCCAATGGAGGCCCACCGCCACCAGTAGCCATTGGGGCCCGTTGGGGGACCACGCAGATGTTGGAGGGTGGGGATGTCCGTGCTAACAGCGTTGGACCACATCTGAACCACCCAAGAACCGAAACTCTCCGTCGGCCACAAGGACACCACAAAGAATTTTCCTTGTGGCGTTGTCACATTTCTTTTTTAATTTCGTTCCCAAGGACAGGTGGAACGAGCACGTCCTTGTGGATTTCACGTCCCCGAGGAGTGTCTAGCGACGCCCTCAGTGTTAATCACTCAGGACTATCACCCCGCACGGTGAGTTGGACCGGACAGCAGTTATAGGCACCAGGGCTAAGCAGATATCCCACCCAGCCCTGGTTGAAGCATGATCGGGCAAACCTCGTCGCACGGGTGCTTCGGACGCCAGGCTCAAGCAGTGTTTCTATTGTGTTTTTAGCTGTGCTGCTGTTTTCCATGATCCCATCGTACAGTCCCAAAGGTCCCCGACTTTAAACCACCAGTACTTGGCCCAGCTATTGGCCGCGGAAAAGAAAAAGAATAGAAAGTACTAGAAACATTTCTAGTCGGATGAATTTGGCCGCTCCCTGTAGTATCCCGTATGTTTCCTAAAATAGTGGCGCGTTAACGGGCACGACTCTAGGAAGTACTGGTGGTTTAAACACCCCTAAATTCACCCAGTTCAGCCAAAGGTCTTCATTACAAAGTGAAAAGGGTTTGTCTTCTGCATTCCGAATCTGTGGGTTGCCCTCTCCCCCACGCCCCAGGGGGGAAGGGGGGGGAACAAAAGCAAACAAACAAACAAAGAGCAGTTGCCTGATTACCTCATGCCATCTGGGGGGAAGGGGCCATTTTTTCTGGGCCCATGTCTTGGCACAGGTTGATGAGGTTGGCCCGTAACAGGTTGGCCGCCAGATCAAGTTTAGTCTGGTCCCTCTGGGAGGCTGTTCTGTTGTGCCTCGGTGGCCTCGGAATTGTCCACTGTTTGTTGGTCAACCACTGCAGGAGGTGGG